CGGCGGTGCCCACGGGGCGGGAGCAGGGGCAGGGGGCGCTCCTTGATGGCGCCGCGCGTGGGAGGTGCCGGCGCGCGCGGAGGGCAGAGCTGGGCGCTGGGGGAAGGGCCCTGCCCGCGGAGGGCGAAGCGGGTCATTTCCTGCCTCGCCGCCCTCCGCCTCCCGACAGCCCGTGCCCCAGGAGGAGGAGGAGGGCCTCCCGCCTGCCTCCCGCGTCCCCTCTCTCCCAGGTAGCCGCCGCCGCGGCGCTGCCTGCCCGAGGCCCTGCGGCGGAGGGCGGCGCTGGGCGCGGTGCCGCGCCACGGGACGGGAGGGGGCGGCGGTGGCGTCGGCTTTGCCCTTCCTGCGGGGGCACCGCGCGCTCCCCTTCCCATTGGCTCCTTGGTGACCTGCTCCCGCCCCCCAGCGGCCCGCAGCCAATGGGAGGTGCGCGCCGTGGGCGAGGGGACCGTTGCGGCCGTTGCTGACCTCGCGGGCCCCCGCCCTGGCGGCGGTGGCGGTTGGTAGGAGCCTGCGGGCGGTTGGGCCGCGCCGGGGGCGGGCGGCGGTGCCGCGGCGCCACGGCGCCTCCCCGCCCTCGGCCGCGGCGCTCGGCCGCTGACCTTGCGGTGCACCCTGCGCGGCCCTCGTGCTGAGCGCGCCGTGCAGCTGCTGCAGAGACCTCATGGAAACCAGGCCGGGGAGCGGCGCGGAGCGGCCGCGCATCCGTCGTTCCGCTGAGCTGCCCCCATCCGCTCGCTCGTTGTTAGCTCTGCACGAGTACTTCGGGCCTCCACCCGGAAAGGCGATATCACAGTTTATCTTACATTAAAGTGACATTCAGAAGTGTAGATTTGTTTCAGCTCTTCAGAAAGCTGTAATCTGCTAACTTGTCTTTCTAGACGTACTTTATAGCTAGGTATCAGACTGATGTGTTTCCTGTCCTGGGTTGCACGCATTGAACATTTCAGGGGGTTTGCTTATCCAGAGGTAGCATCTTGAAAAGGTAATGTACCCTGATCATGCAGTCTGCGGGGTTAGTTTTTAAGTACTGGACGAGTCTAAAATACAAACAATATGCTTATTCTACTAAGTATGCAAATAAGCTTGGACAAAAAGTTGCAAGTGAAGAACATATAAAGTTATGTCCAACATCAGTTCTTCTTCCTTTTGCTTGTATATCTCTTACCATTTTCAGTGTACACTTGTTTAAAACTATGTGTTCTTTTTATTACATCTGTATTGTGGCAGCATCTAGATATCCATGACATAATTGAGGATTTACAGCAATCTGTACAAAACAATTAGTTCTCACAAGAAAATGACCGCTTAAGCTATAATGCTGATTGGAATTAAGTGGAAGGTATTGAAGAGATGCACACAGGGTTGTTTTGAAAGAAGTTCTCCAATTGACAATTTTTCAAAGTAACCTACTTGAGACAGTTCTGCTTTACTTTTTTTTTTTTTTTTGGTAAATAATTATTTCCTGAGAATTCATTCTGTCATCAGGCAAAACTTCTATTTAATAAAAAATGTTGGGAGCAGGGACTTGGCACTGCAGTTTTTCACTGAGTGAAACAGAGACACACCCATTGCGATGTTCAGTCAGCTGCCTGTGAATAATTTCAGAGGGTTTTTTTTTTTTTTTTTTTTTATTAGCACATGCAGTGTAGCGTCAGTAAACTCTGCAATAATAGATTGTGGGTTTTTTTTTTTTGTTTTTTTTTTTTTTTTCCCAACTTTTATGATTGCACCATAGTGACAATTTTCCGTATGCAGAGAAAGATCTGCTTGAAGGTCTTGCAGTCCCTGCTGAACCATTATGTAATTACATGGTCCTTAGTCTGATTTAATTGGCTTACACTTTATTTACAATAGGCAAACAGAGGTGAATCTCTGCTGAGCTACCTGAAATATAGTAGTTTCAGCTGATTGTGGTCAGTATGTATATTCTGTAGGTGATATTTGCATAGAATCATATAATTTCTGATTCTAGTTTCTTATTTCTGTTATTTATAAAATAACAACTCACAAATTCTGATGTCTTCTTTAAGATGAGTGTTTTCATGAGTGATTTCAGTAGTGGTTTTATTCAGAGAGCAGCAGGCTATGCAGGGTGAGCAGCACAGCAGAAAGGTACCCACTTATTGACATAGGAACCAGTTGTGTTTCTTCTATGCTGTACTGCAAGCCCATGATTCAAAAACATGTGTGGATGTTAATTAGGCTGTTTACATAGGATTGAGATAAAAGCTGTTGAGAATCATCACTGCTTATCTGTTTAGGAGTACTATTGCTGGCCAAGAGAGCATGGTTCTCCTCCTTTATAAGGGTTTTCTTTTTTTTTTTTTTTTTTTTCCAAAGAGTTGATGGATGATTTTGTTTGTTTTGCTTGCAGTTCTGAGAGACGCAATGAGACTGAAACTTCTGGGCCTTCTGACTAGATCTGCCTGTGTTTTAGCAGAAGCGTATCGGTGCCAAAGCTTTAATACTATTGGATGTCCGTTATCCAAACTGAGCGATGAAGTGGACAGAAGAATCTTCAGAACAGCAGACAAGATTTGGAACTTGTATTCTCTGAAAACTGATACCCCTTGTTTGACCAGTCAGTGTGTCCAAGTCAAGAATTGGCAGTTGCTGCAAGGAAATATATCAGCCTTAGGAAAGAAAATGCATTATCAGAATGGAGGGACATTTTTTCCACCCTGGAAAGGTACTGGTGCAGCAGTGATGGAAAACTACAAACACAATCCAGCGTGTACTAAAGAGCTTAGAAACATATCAGCAAGATGCTACTCAGTTGTATCAACTGGTAAAATTATTCCAAAACAAGGTATCCAGCCTGTTAAGAGGCCACCAAAGGCACCAAGGACCAAGCAGCCATCCAGAACAAACCAGCCACTACTGGCTGATATACAGGTAAAGTACAAAATCTGTGGCCTTTATAGCATTGAGAGAGCTCTATGGATTGATTTTTAGATTCAGATACAGGTTTAGAAAAACATTTTAATGAAATTGATATATTTCTTAAGTGGTTTTCAGTGTTTAATATGGTCACAAAGGGATTGGAACAAGCAGAAACCAACTTATGAGAAACTAGTGTGTCTGGTGTTTTGAAACTAAAGTGGAGATTTTAAAATTAACAAAAGTGGAGGGAAGAGAATTGATTCTAAAATTGGAAGACATGAAATATGTTAAAAGTAGTTTAAACATAGTATCAAATCATGTTTAATATTGAGAGATAATAACTAGTTTTTAGATACATTTAACCTTCCTTAGGCATCCCTGCTTGTTCATTTCTCCAAAGTTTTAAGCCTTCAGTCTGTTTTTAACAGAAATAAAGATAAAAGTAAAAAATATATTAATGTTAAATATTCAAAAAAGGTTATGGAAGCACTGAATGTTTTCTTGAGTATGACCATACTTTTTTATCTTTTTTTTTTTTTAACAGTCATAGTATTTCAAACCGCAGTGAAAAAAGGTTTAACAAAGTAAATTTGATTTCATTGTCAGTGATACAATGTGTTCTTATAGTAACATATATATGAATATCTGTAAGTACTTAATATTTGAAACTGTACAGTTTTATAAAGTTAGGAATTTATTTCTGTTCTGTCAGTGGGAAAGCTGATATGGATGTAGTCTATATTACTTAAGGAAAATTATTCTCTGTGTAGAAAGAGTACTTTGATCTTCAGCCTCCTAGGTATACAGACTAACAACAACAACAAACTGCTTTGGCTAGTTAGATACAAAGAGCAAGTAAGTGGAACGGTGCAAGTTTTGTAGCCGCTAGTCCTTAAGTTTGTTCTTTGCTGGCCTTGAATATTAACCAAGGTAGACATCAAGCATACCTTGAATATAAGATCCCCAAGAAAATTACTGGTGTCAAAAGTGTTATTGTTCTCTCAAATTATTGTTCTCTTCAAGGTACAATAATAGCAACAGAGTTCCAGAGTATTACTCGTAAAATAAAGTACGGTAGCTGAGACTGAGGCAAATGTTGCACTATCAGAAATAACTTCCACTTTGCAAAACCTGCCCATTTCTTGTTCTGCTGAATGTGTGGAGAGAAAATAAAGCTTCAGTGCTTACCTTCTAGTTATCTAAGCTCCCATTCAATGCATTATGTAATTAAAAAGAATATACTTTATATTAATATAAAGATTTCATTATAGGTAAATTAGTTCCCAATTTTTCCTGCTACATCGGAAGTGAGGAAAAAAGTGCAGAAAGAACTAATTCTAAAGCCCTTCATACTCTGTGCAGGCCTGTTATTTATACTGTGACATTATATTCAGAGCCAGTTTCTTTTATTTGTAGGGTGAATCAAAGTGATATCTTTGTGCACAAGACTCTTGAGGCTTGCAAAGGGCATTATAGAATGTTAACAATTTTCTTTTTCACAATTTTGCATGTATCTTCATATGTAGGTAAATACATATGTAAGTAACATGCACAGCTTTTTTTACCTTCTTCCACTGTGAACAGAGATAAAACTCAGTCTGAAATACTGAGATAATAATATACTTTCTGAGGACAATTTCATGGTGTACAATGCAGTGCAATCACACAAACTGAGACCGAACATTTGCTGTTTTGGAACAAACATTTTTTGCTTTTGCCTGGTAGATAGCAGGGTGACACTGGCTGACAGCATTTTGAAATAAACTTTTTAGAAATTTCCATATCTATATGTAGTGCAGAGAACTAACTTGAACATGTGACACATTTCTGAAACATGATTGATACAAGTTCAGCAAATGTAGACTTTTAACGTTTTCTTCAATGCACTGTTTTCTCTAAACCAGGGTGTCAAGCAAAGCAGATCTCTCTTCCGATACCAGCTTTGAGGTTAACAAGGACCCTTCCATAGCATAGGTCATATTGTCATTGCAGTTGGCTACCAGCATCCTGCTCTGTCTTCTTTCCTCATAGGCTGACTTAGTAGTTTGTAGTATTTTGCCCTTTGGACACTAACTGTAGACCTGCTCTTAAGATTTTCTGTTATATGAACCCCGAAAGCCTCTCAGCTTTTCTCTTCAGAATGGCTTGACAGTTAATAACATTTATTTGCAGTATAGTGCAGGAGTAGGCTGCTTCCCATCCTTCCCAGCATACATCTTCATGTGTTGTTTATGGGTAGAATGCCAAGCACCAGCAATGGGGAAAGGACCAGTTTTTCAGGATAGATGGAGGAGTTCCTTGAAAGTGGTTAAGTGGCTTAGTCAGCTCCTCGGTGATTAGCGTTGCCTCTCAGTTTGGTTAAGCTCATAAGGTCTGAAGGCATGAACAGTGGCTGAGCTATAGCCATGTAGTCTAGAAAAAAACAAATCAGTTAAAGGTGTCGTAGTTGCTCCCCCCCTTAAGAAGGATTTCTATAGGATGTGAGGATAAGTTCACCCTGCAGATGTTCTTTCGGAAAAGTATCTGTGTCCTTAAGATGGGAGGGATGGGCTAAGTGGAAAATTATAGTGTTTGAGCTACATTACATGAGCCTTCACTGCTGGGGTTTGGGAGTTGTGATCATGTGGAAACTGAGTTGCCAAGGGACCTAGGTTGGCTGATCTGCTAATTGTTTTGGTTCTCAGAATTGGGTTTTAATGAATCCCAGAGCTTTATTTAGAAAGGAAGCTCATGAGGAGTAGCTGTTGTTTCTAGGACCAGAACAGATCATACATTCTGTTCCTTTGAAGTGTGCAGGTGAAGTTAATGTGACAGCAAGTGTGGGAATCATGTCTATTTTAGAATTTTGAGGATTAGCTGAACCAACATTTAGACTTTTTGACTATTATGTTATTATCGGAGTTTAAGCATTTAGATTGCCTAGATTTTAAGTGTCTTTAACTGAACTCAATTTGAAGATTTGAAGTGTCCCCATCAAATAGGTTTTCAGTAAAGGTGAAAGGATGCATGGTGTAAAAAAAAAAAAAAAAAAAAAGGCTTTTTGGGGCAGAGTTTGTTATTAGAAGTCTTCCATCGGAGAACATGGGCACTTCTGATAACTAGAAATCATTTGCATTGGTAATGCAAAGACTAAGAATGCATTTATATGGCAACTAGTAACATAATGCAATGCTATAAAAGTATTCCAGCAAATGATCAGAAAATGTAATTTCACTCTCTATCCATTAAATATAGTTCCACTGTTAACTCAGCTTTATGGAATAGTCATAGAAATATACCTTTAAAATATCTCACTAAATATTGTCAATTAGTTTTGAAGTTTATTTTGTTAAAACTTCTGAGACTCATAAGAGTAAGAAAGTAGGGTATCAGGATAATATGAAACAAAATGATGTTGGTGTTTATGAAACGAAATAATAAAAAAAGCTTTGGAAATGTTCACAGAATGTTAACATTAAAAGTAAAAAAAAGGTTTAAGCAAGTGGCCTTTATTGTGATTGTTAACAACAGACTTCTCCCACCCAAAAGTAGGAATCATTTTCAAGCACTGCTGACTGTTGGTATATGAGTGTTGTGGGAATATCATTTAGATATTAGGTTGAAATGTACTGTGGGTATAAATGCTTGTCAATGAGTTATTTTCTTTATTTGTTGTTACTTACCTCCTGATTTTGTATTTGTTACAAAAAGCTGGGAAGTGACTGATCCGCAATGAAAAGATTTTTTTTTTTCTGGATATCTTCCATTACATTGTACTGAAAAAAATTAACATGGGACATATGTAGTATCAGAGCAAAGAAATAGTGTGTGTGTGTGTGTGTGTGTGTGTGTGTGTGTATATATATATACTTATATATTTTAATTAATTAAGACTGTGGAATACAAAGACAAGCTCTGGCTGGTGGGTACTGTCTGACTAGGGTTGCAGTTGAGACTATGTCATTAGAACGAGATTAAAGAACACTGTAGATAGGGCTGGCAGGGAAGCCTTGTGACTTTGTGCTTCAGGCTTCTACTGCAGGAGTCACCTGCGCCGGGAGCTGGGTGACAGAGCAACATAAATGTTTGTGGTGGGAACTCATGTTTGGCTAAAGCAGCTGGGACCATCTTTCAAACATCCTTTTTTCAGCTGATACCGGCAATGTTGTGCTGTTGGTTTCAGTGGTCAGCAGATTACATTAGAAGCTGTAGGATGGGAGGGTAATAGCAAGTGTGGCTCTGCTGCTACAGAATGGGATTGATGTTCGGGAGAGAAGGGCTCAGCTTATGGCTCTAGCACAAAGTGGCTTGGGTGACACATCACTTGGTTTGGTGTCAGCCTGTGAAAATGGGATATGTTTGTTTCCCTCTTAGCAGGGAGTAACTAGTGTCATTAGTATCTGTACAGCAGGGGGACAGCCTGGCAATGCTGCTGTAAGAAGGAGGGGATGAATGAAAAATGTCACCCTGACAAATTTGAGCCAAACAAATGTCTTATGAACACCTTGCCTCAGCCTTTCCCTAACTCCAGTCTCTGTTCCTTTGGCACAGAATCTGATGCAGTGCACTGCCTTTGCAACAGCAGATGAGTATCATCTTGGTAATCTCTGTCATGACCTGACTTCACATGGATATGTTGAAATAACAAGTTTGCCTAGAGGTAGATCTTTAAAACATATTAAAAGCAATGTTATACCTTGGGAAATTAAGTATGGGTGAGGAGTATAATTTCCTATAACGTCTTGTAATCTGACTTTGGTAATGTGCTGGCATATATCATCCATCCTAGAAACAAGTGCTTAACTTAAATTTTATTTCCTTAAAAAAAAGAAAGAAAGAACATAAACCTAAACCTTCCAGACCAGCAGTATAACCAGCACTGCTTGTTAACCTTTAATTTTTTTTTTTCAAAATTAAACCTATACCGAAAGTACTGAAAAAATGACATAGTGCTAGAAAAATAAATGCAGGAAAAAAAAATGGAAAAACTCTGATAAAAAGAATTTGTCCTTTCCATGTTAGTGTTTCAGTAATATGATACTAGAGTGCTTCAATTTTGTAATTTAAAATGTTGCACCTTTTTTACATACCCACATTTTTGTTAATGGAAATCATTATGTTTGAGAATATAGGGGAACACTTGTTATATATCTTGTGTATATGTTTTGTAGCTGGCCAAGAGGGAGGCAGAAAATTAAGATGGTGTTTATAACTATTTTTGTCTTTAGGGCATTTTTTTTTTTGTTATTTACTTTCCCACACTATGTGGTGGAACACAGACGTTTTTCAAGTTATTTTATTTTGAATTAGATTTTGGGAGGACATCTTGGCTTATTGTTAGTGAAGTAACATCTTCTTAATACTTCCTCTGTTTGCCCTAAGGTATTTCAGTATTTTTTTGCTTTTCATGGTGTATGTTATGACTTATCTCTAGGTTTCATTTGTAAAGAAGAGGAAGACATGCAGGAGAGAATCATTTTGACAAGGTGAAATGTAAAATATATATACATATAGATGTTTATTTCCAGGAAGGAGAATCTTGTTTATATTCTGTATGGAACCATGCATATAGCCTAGCAGTTGTTGAGTGCTTCGCTTCAGCTAGGCCTGAGCAAAATAACTAGCTCTGGTCCCATGCAAAATCTTGGGAAAGATTGAGAAAGATTGGGAAAAAATCTTGGCTTGGGAAAGTATCACTTGGAAATAGCTGAATCGAGAGGAAAAGCAAGAAGAAAAGCAAATGGAATTTTAGAGAGTTTAAAAGACTTCTGTACTATAAAAGCTGTGATTTTCCTGTGTTGCAAGTATAAGGGAATGTATTTTTTTTAGGAAGAGATGATATGTATTGGTAATGGGCATTTCAGTAGAGGTTATCAAATGTCTGGCTGAATTACAAACATTTCATAGTCACAGTGTGAGACTACTAGAGTGGCAGTGCATTAGGGAAGTTTATATAAACTTATGGTGTGGGGGGGTGAGAGATCAGAAAATGTATGTGACTGGTGAGAACAGAATCTTGCTTTTTTTTTTTTTTTTAAACAAAAAAACTCACAATTTGTACTCTGGGTCATCTTGGCCTCGTGGAAACGTGGCAGTACAAGGTGCTGTACAGCACAGGCTCCATGTTCCTTCGTAGCTGCTGAACAACACTTCAGATTGGGAGCTTTAGACAGTGCCCAGCACGGTTATGGATTATTGTAGGGCAAATATCCTTGCTGCTGGTAGCTCACACTGGAAGTATGGGTCTTGCCAATTCTTTCCTTGTGGTGTGTTTTGACTCTTCACAATAAATACTTGGTTTGTGTGAAGTTTGGAGGAAGTAATGATGAAAGGATGTTTGATTGTGCCAGCAGATTTGATGTGTTGTTGCTGTGGGGATATACAATGGTTGGTTACTAACTCAAACATGGTATCTTAGTTCTTAGCATTTGAGCAGATTAGCATTGTATTTTAGCAATTTAGTTGCTTGGTAGTGTTCTTTCCAAACATTTTTTCTTTTTTACTTTAGAAACATGTTAGAGGCTGTATCTGTGTTTGTAACGGATGCAATTCACTCCACTGTATAACTTTTAGCTGGAGTGAATAAATAAAATTGCAGCATGTGTAATATTTGGAAGGCAGGTAAGAAGATGTCGATGAATGTTTCTTCCATGGTGACCTCCAACTTCACACCTAGAATTTGCTCTGTGATAAATCAAGTCTTATTTTTTTCTGAATTTAAATAGCAAAAAAATGGGGAAGTCTTTAAAGGGCTCATAGAGAGTAACTCTGTGATCAAGTATATAATCTTGATTCATTTACTAGCAAATATTTATCCAATATTTAGTCATCCCTTACTGCCATATTAGTGTACCTGACCTCTCTTTGTCAACTCTAACAGTAAAGCCGTGGTGGAAATTGTACACAGAAGAAGTTCAATGCCTTGGCTTTTAGTTAGTGATCTCTTTGGAAAAGGGTTGAATGTTCTAATGCTGGGTATGTCAGACTCTGTAAATTCATCTTTGCAAAGCCTTACTGTACCGTAGAAGCAGGGCTTTTTGCTGGTCTGACTTCTACTAGTTCTTCACACAAGATGAATCATGCTGGAAAGTGACCTTTTTTTTTTTTTTTTTTTTTTTTTTTTGCATAACCACATCAGGACTTTTATAGCTATGTCTGTGATAGCAAGTAATACAGTACATTACGAGCAGATCCATACTGGGAAAAAAAAAGCTGCATGATAACCCAACAACCACAATGTGTACATTTTTTAGACCTTCTACTTGAACTAGCTTGAGTTTGGTCCTCTGTACTGAAGTCTTGTTAGTGCTTGGAGTATCTTAGGAGCGCTGCTGAAGTCCATCTTTCAGTTTCATGTCGTGCAAAAGAAGTCCAGTTTGTGCCCCGTGACACTGTGCTGCAGTGCAAGTCAAAGTGCTGTAAGGAAGGGGTGATTGGACAGTTTGTCTCAAAACCATATTCCTGATCCAAATGAAAATACACATGCAGATGGAATATTTGCTGTCTTGGGGGTGTACTCTTTCATGTTTCTGACTGTTAAAGCAAGGTCAGCAAAAATAGAGCACAGATTACTTCCTTGCCATATAGAAAAGAAAAAGATTTTGATTTGTGCAAGCGTATTCGTAAGGCAGTTCCTTTGCAGCTGTGGGCAGACTCCCTTGCTTTGCTCACATTGCATGTCGGCTCTGCGTTCTCTAATTTGCTTCTGGTTTGGGGTTTTTCTTTTTTTTTTTTTAAGCTGTGCCCTGCAACAGTTTTCTCTTGAGTGGCTTGTTCTTCATGAACGCTACATTTCATAATTAAAGTTTTCAGTGAAGTTTAACACAGCAGTTGAGTTTGCTTAGGGTGGGAAGCTTTAGAGAACCAGTGGACTTTTATACTGTAGATGGCTTCTGGCAAGCATTTCTATCAAGAAAATAAAATACAGAACTTTAAAGTGTTACCAAATCACTGCTCAACTGCAATTATGTGTTTGTAGTTGTCATCTTTAGGAATCTAAATAGTTCTGTATTTAGATCTTTAACCCTGTTTGTTTGTTTTAAACTAGATGCTGCAAATGTTCTGGTGATTGGCACTGAGAAGTCTGCGAAAGATGATGATGCTGGCATGATATTTTTCTTCAGGTAAGTTATAAACCAAGCCTGAAACGTGCCTGAAGTAAGTTAAAATAACTCTCTTTTTCATGTTTTGCATTAGCATGGTTAAAAAGGGAGTATTATGTTTACATATAAACAGGATCACATTTCTTTATTCACAGTGACTAAAATTGCTGCTGTACAATTTGAGTATTGAATTAAAACAAATTCTAAATCCTGTAATTTCATGTCTTTTTTTTTGATTATTCGCAGGGAAGGGGCTGTGGTGTTTTGGAATGTGGAAGAGAAAACTGTAAGTCAAGCAAATTGCTAATATTTCATAAGTAGATGTTTTGTCAGACCACAGAGGCCCACGTGCCTGTGTTTTTGCTGGGGAGCTTGGATCCCTCCGAAGGGAAAGGCCTGATTCTTCTCCTAACCCAGGCAGCTGCTGCCTGCTGCTGCCCTCAGGCGTATGGGTTGCTGATAGGTCATCGGAAAGCTCGGCTTTTGGCACGAAATAGGCAAATCTGTGTGCGTAACATGCAAAGGGAATCAAGTATTTGGTACTTCAGACTACAAATATGAAACCTTGATCTCATCAGACTGACGGAAGGAAAATCCGTGCACTTATGCTGACTGAAGGGATAGATCAGAAAAATCGATCTGTGAAATCAAAAGTTTAAAATGAATGTTTAGAAGTACTTATGTAACAGACAAGGAGTTAGCAGAAAATGTTGATTCTAGAGCCAGCTGTACAATTTAAGTCATTTAAGGCAGAGATACTCAAAACTTAGAGTAACTTTGAAAAAGCCAAACAACATTTTGAATATATATTGCTTTGTTTTTCTATCAGTAATTTTCCCAAAGGAATGTTCATCTTTATAAGTTGGTATAGTCTTTAAAATTGATATATCCCTTACCATACTTCTGTGATTTTACTGACATAATTATGCTGCAGTCATTTTATGAATATATTAATAATTATTTACAAATATTCACATATTAATACTTTTTTATTACTGTGACTAAGTAAAGCTGAGTGTCAGGTGTATAAATACAAATTATCAATCTTGTCTGTATGGAAGATATTGTGAAACTAACTGGTGATCAGACAGATAATACAGAGATGCACAGAGGTTTGCAGAAAGATTTTCATTAAAATATATTAAAATACAGAGCAGCTGTTTCCAGACATGTACCAAGTCTGGATTCAAGTTTCTGTTTCAGGCATGATGGTTTTTTCCCTTCTTCGCTGTATCAGCATCAGCAAATGCTCCCTCTCCCTCCTTGCCTTGCCTGCAGCACATCCAAGCTGTTAGGGCTGTGACAGCACTCCTGATTCACAGGGCAGACAGAAAACCAGCTGCAAAACCCCAGCGATTCTTTAGTTGAGCAGCTTTAGGCTGCTTGGAAAAGCCTCATTTTGCTGTATCTTTTTACCTGCTTTGGTGTATTCAAAAACTTGACTTTACAGTCTTCTTGTCAGGGCAGGTAACCCCATTTGGTCTATTGTTAGTTTTATTCATAAACAGAGGAAGGATGGATTTGTCTGCTTTTTCAAATGCTAGTCAGAATTTTAACTTGAAAACAGTTCACTCAGAATGCTTTTTATGGACAAACTTAAGTGAATCAAAACTAAAATAAGGAGGGGAAAAAAAACCTGTAGAACAGAAACTGAAAGTATTTTATTGTAGGATGATTGCAATGAATGCAAATACAGCTGTTAGTTCATGTCCTCTTGCAGATCCAAACATGCAGTGGAGGAGACATTGATCTGCTGATAGTGTGTGTAGTGGGTAGTGCTCCATAGTTTTCTTCCAGAGAAAAATACTCCTTATCCCAACCAACAATACAAGTTGTCTTAATGACCAGCCACTGGTGTGGTAACCTTTTCTATTGGTAGAGCTGAGCCACAAGCTGCCATCTATCCACAGTCTCATATAAATACTGCTGCTTATATAACACAGTTACAGTGGGTGTTTGACTGGAAAAGCTATAAATAGGTCCCGTTGGCTTTGTTATTCTTGGGGTGGCTCCTGAATGCAGTAGTATTCTGTCATTTCAGATTCGCAGAACTGTGTTTTATAAACCAAAATATATGTAGGGTTTTTTTTAAGTAGACAGGATTTTCAATATGAACCTCAAGCCATACAGTGTTCTTCAGACTGCAGAAGTCACTGGTGAGAGGAGTTTGATTAAAGCAGGTGAGAAGTGACCAAAGCAACCAGCCCAGTCTCCACCACCCTCCCCATTAACCTCCAGAATGACAAATAAGAATTTGGAGGTGGGAATATACATAATACAAAGGCACTTAACACCCTGCTGCAAGACTAATTACGAAAGTTAGTGCTTATAAATTGGGGCTTCATCACTTGTAAATGGGAAAAAGAGACGTGTGGGAAGCCTCGTTCCTGGATGATTGAGGGGCCCTTAGGTGTGACACAGAGAGGCCAAGGTGCAGCCTTGGGCAGCGGGGCCCGGCCAGCAGCGCGAGAGCAGTTCCGATGCTGTGGTGGCACGAGGCAGGCTGGGCTGTGGTAGCTCCGTGTACTTGCATTCAGGTAAGCTGCATGTACAAGGTGGACGTGAATGAATATGGCTGCTCTCACAAAATACTGCAGAGCAGTTGATAGGGAAGAAAAAAGTATGGAAGGAAAAAAATCAAGTTAGTGGACACAAACAGGAAGTGTAGCTGCAGCCTGATGACAAATAAATAGTAAATGAAAATGCAAAATGTGCCTTCTGAGGACACGAGTAGGAACTTCTTGAAGCAGCTTCCCCAACAGAAGGAGTAAGGGCAAAAAGCCAAGCTAGTTTCTGGGTGGGGTTTCACCTTTTAAGAATAAAATTAAATTTTATTGTTTTTAAAATTATTATTATTTTAAAGGCAGATTGTTCAAAGTACTTGCAGCAAGGGCTGCATTCAGCTAGTCTAGAACATCTCTTTTCATTAAATGTTCTGTGTCACAGTTATAAAATCAGGGTAGGCCTAAAAGAAACGTGAAGCAGTGGGAGCTTTGGCATTACTTTGACTAGATAAAAGCCAGTTGCTGCTGCAAAGCAGTTTCTCACTATCCAGAGCAATGGAAGAACTTTGGAAACACGTGGCGTACGGGATATGTGAAATGCACCGAGTCAGCCAGGGGCCGTGCAGCTTCCTCAGGCGCTTCCCGGCCGGCTCGTGCACGGCCCGGGCTGGCTGGAGCCGCGGCGGCGCTGCGGGCGGCTTCGCGGGGGCCACCGCGTGTGCCCAGCCCCGCGAGGTGCCCCTCAGCAGACTGCGCTCCCCCCGGGCAGGGGGGCTCCCCTTGCTGAGCCGGCCCCAGCAGCGGCCTGAGCGGTTGGCCAGGCTGGCCAGGGGAAGTGCACTAAGGAATCATTTTCCATACCCCTGCCCTACCACAGTGCTTGGGTATCGTTCATGCTACTGATAAATTCGGGATAATGAAACAAGGAGTTGCGATTTGTGGGCTTCTCATAACAGTGAGTGATGTTATTGTGCTTTAGCCAGAGAGTATCCCTGACATTCATGAAAGCAGAGAAGGAAGCTAGCGCCATGGAGAAGAGCTCTCCCACAGGCAATCCAGCAATCCAGGCCAGTATATGCCTGGAGGAAGTGTTCCATGAACAATTCACTAGCATGCACTGTCTTACTGAAAGATCGAGTACTCCGTACTTATTTGAAGAGAGCTTTTTAAGGACAATATTCACCTCTTCAAAGAATTTAGGCACCGTTTTAGTGGCTGTTTTGTAACTAAATACTTTTTTAAAAGTTATTGGTGCTTTTTTCAATTCCATATTTCTTCTAACTGCAGAATTATTTGTATGAGAGGTATAACATGTAGAAAGGATTGAGGAGAGGGGCCTTAAGCAAAATGCTAAAGGAGAAAGTTTTGTGAGAGATGAAGTTTCCTCTTGCTGCCTCAGTTTTTAGTGTGCTTGGGAATACCATGGTAATGAGATATTTCTGAAGTAAAATTGCACATTTAACTGTCCGCAGGGTCCCATGCAGGCAGCTGAAACCATTTCATAGATTGTCTTTTTTAAGTGAAAAGGAACTCCTAGGATATAAGCAGATCCCTGGTAGCTGAAACAAACCCGCTGGTCACGTTGCCAGCAGTAGCCCCCCGAGGTGCTTATCCTTAGGTTCAGTCACACGCTCCTGTCTGCAAATGCTGTAGCTGCTCTTCGTTGCAGCGCTCGGTACTTCTGCGGTGCCTTTGCAACCTCCTGCAGACCAGAAGATCTTTGCAGAGTGAGTGCCTCCTGCACGGTAACTCTTTCACATGCAGTTGTCTTCCTCTAGATGAAGAATGTCATGCGAGTGCTAGAACACCATGAAATTCAGCCATATGAAGTTGCATTAGTGCACTGGGAGAATGAAGAGATGAACTACAGGAAAGGAGAGTAAGTATCTTCAGGTACTCTCTATAAAAGCTAATAAGACATCTAAAATGAAATGGGAAAGCAGCTAGGAAAAATGTATCTTTGCTTATTCTTTTTCAGTTGGATAGAGTAAGGAAAGAAGACAATAAATCTAAATTAAATTCTTTTGCCCAACTGTTGATCTTAAAACTAATAGCATAATGCGTGTGTCCTTGGTTATGTACTGAAATTTTTAAGTTATGAAACTCCATGTGCACACGAGTTGAGCACTTAAACGTGTTCTTCAGCAATCCCAAATAGAAGCCATGCACCTCGTAGAAGAAGATGGATTTTGGGTTTTAAAGGAGAAGCATAAGCTTTCCTCAGTCACCTCTAGGTTCATGTATAAAGATGTATTCTGCACACACTTACTTTCAAAGATACGGCTTGAAGACTGTGGAAGGAGAAATCTGATAAGCTATCTTCTGTTGTTAAATACATTTTCCTTATGATGAGCAAAAATTCTCTGTAGACAGAAGTCTCAATGTACATGAAGGTATCACCTACATGTAACTACATAACAGTACCAAAAAATGTACTACAGAACAGCATGGTATAACCCTATAGGCTGAGCTAATAAGGTTGAGCCTATTAAATAAAGTTCTTCTTTCTCTTTCTTCTGTCTGGCTATTTAAAGACAATTTATACTGTCCAGTTGTGGAATCTGTGACTCCTGACGTGTTTCATGATGTTTGTGCAAGTTTCACAGTGAAAGTTAGAAATGAGAAGCTGAAGGACTCTGATGCCTCCTTTCTTTGCTGCTGACCCGCTGTGCTGGACAGATCTGGGGGGAAAGTCACCTGGCAGGAAGGGTGTGATGTCAGGAAGAGTCAGGAGAAAAGGAGACCAGAGAAAGGAAGATAATACAGGTGGATAGAGAGGAGGAAGGAAAGAGCCCTTGCCCGCTTACTCTGCAGTATGTACGGGCACACAGTAATGCCAGTAATTCCACCACGGCCTGCTGTAGTTGCATCTAAGCAAAGAGAAGTCACAATATTAGTCTTAAACCGAAGCAGTCATTTTTAATGCTTAGTTTTGGTTACTGTGAGGTTGGAAATGAGTGAAATGCAAGGATGGGGCTGATGTCGAGGTATCTGTGTATAAAACAACCACACTTTCTTTGCACTATTGATTGCTCTTTAAATGTTCCTTTGCCGGTGGCCTAGTCAATGAGGATGCTTCAATCCTGTTTTAACAGAGGGCAGTCAAAGCTTCATAAAGGAGAAATCTTATTAAATTCTGAGTTGGATATTGATGAAGTTGTTCTGCAGAAATTTGCCTTTTCGAATGCTCTTTGTCTTTCTGGTAAGTCATCATTTGTAACATGAGACTCTGCTAGAGATTATAACTGGGACTTGTGCAGTGCAGATTGGAGGAAAGACTGAATGTCTGCGTTTGGCAAATTGGGTAAAGATTGATGGCTTTTCAGTGGGTAGATGAGGGGATTTTTTAGTTTTTACGTTGTATTTTGTAGAAACTATTCATTTAGCCTGAATCTCAAAGGTGAACAAAGCACATTCAGAAACATATTTTGCTCAGTAAAACTTTTTCATCCTGTTCCCTACCCTGCTCCAGGTACTGCTCCAGGATAGCAGCTAGTACCGAGCCTGGTTTTGGAAGGTTTTTTGGAAGTAAGCTTAGCTGCTCAGTCCTGACATCCGTTCCCCTCCTGGAAAACGCTAGATTCCAGCTAAAGTAGAGAGGAGGGGAAAGCAGGGCAACCCAGCTGGACAGACCAACCCACAGCACAGGCTGAGCCCCACGTGAAGTTACCAGGCCCGGCTCCGTGCCAGGCTTGGTGCTCCTGCCCAGAGCCAGGCTCAACGGTGCCCGCAGAACGGCCAGTCTCTGCTGCGCCAGGCTTCGAGTGAGGCAGCGGATGGGAGCAGAAGGAGCAGTAGGGGCTGCCTCGCAAGGGCTGTAAAAACCCCTCGTTTGTGAGCCCCTCCTGCTGCTAGGGGAGACTGCAGGACGCAGGTGGTGCATGGGAAAGGGCGTCTAATTTAAAGGCAAGGCACCAAGGCAGGCACGGGTGTTTCTGGAGAGCCGCCCTGTTTGACAGAGGCGCGCAGCCCAGCCGTGTGGCTTCTCCTTGTCCAAGAAAGCCCGAGTTACTGAGATCCTGGGGTGCGGGGAAGCCTCTAGTTGCCCATTATTGTTGTATTTGCAAAGCTACAGCGTATGGCAAGAGGGGTGCCACCTGTACTGGGGCAAGAGATTGATTTCCAGCAGAAAATCAGCACCAATTCATATTAGTGTGAGACACATGCACCTTATGGGAAGGTAGTAAAATGTTCTATGTAATACAGGGTCCAAGCACAGTCCGTCAAATTCAGTCTTAGGACAGAGCAGAAAGCACCACCTCTATAACAACAAATATTGTTGCCAAAAGTGTCTGTTTGCCTTTTTACTAGGGGCTAAGTTAGAGACCCTATTAGCCTTTGACTGCATTAGACCCCAGTACTCAATAGCATTAAAAATGTTCAGTATTGGATTTACTGAGCATCCTTCTTAGATTATTACCACAAAAGAAAACACGTTGACAGTCGAACACTGTTTTTTTTCTGGTGAATTGGGTTAATTCTTGAAACTGCTCTGTTACTGCTGCATTCCTAACTGGAATTTATGTGAGATTTAATGAACAAAAAGTCAGAATTACATCTGTAGAGATCCCCCTGTCGGGTCCAAGCTAAGACACAGGTACCAACCGTTGTCATAGGATTGCGGGACTGTTGCTTGTGCTGAACAGCTTCCACCAAATAGGATTCTGACAGCTTCAGCCAGCCACATCTCCACGGAAAAGGAGCAGGGAGACACGGAAAAGGAGCAGGGAGACGCGGAAAAGGAGCAGGGAGACGCGGAAAAGGAGCAGGGAGACGCGGAAAAGGAGCAGGGAGACGCGGAAAAGGAGCAGGGAGACGCGGAAAAGGAGCAGGGAGACACGGAAAAGGAGCAGGGAGATGCCCCCCGCACTAGCATGGCCATGTCTGCTGCCCTGGGGCACGTCGCGGCTGGGAGTGGAGGGAAAGCAGCAGCAGGAGCGGTGGAGGGGAAGCAGGAGCCGGTACCGGGTGGGCCGGCCCGGCCCGGCCCGGGGCCGCACAGCAGGGCCTCTCTGCACCCTGCAGGCCCCTGGAAGTGCCGCCCTCCGGCCCTTCCGCCAGGCCTGGCGCCTGAGAGCGGGAAGCGGCAGCCAGACATGAACCTGTCCGTGGATGTATGAGCAGGTCCCCTGCTCCCTCGAGTGCTGTTGGCGGATCGGGCGCATTCTGGTTCCTTGACAGCATCTTTAACAGTCTTCTGCCTTGTCGACTTTGTGTTGCAGTAAAACTGGCTATTTGGGAATCATTACTGGATAACTTTGTGGAATCTATCCAGTCAATTCCTGAGGTGAGGTCTTGTTTGTACCTCTCTTACCTCTCTCCTCCTTTTCTGCTCTTTTCAATTTTTTTATATTGGGGGAGGGGGTGCAAAAGCTCAGTCTGACCTAGCTGAGGATAGGGGATATGAAAACAAATGATTAACAACTTTGATGGTAAAGCCATCAACATAGTGCTCAAAAAACCTGTAAAGGGGTGGGAAATGAACAGTATTTAACAGTGGAAGTTTTTTTTTTTTTTTTTTTACATTGAAATAATATTTACACTGTGGGGCATTTGCCACTATTGAATGTTTGTACAAAACAGGACAAGCAGCTTCAAAGGGCTGATGAAAATGTTAGTGTGTGGCAACTTAGTCTCAAACTAGTGTTCTAACGTGTGTTAATAGTTAATTGAGTAACTTAAGCCATAGTTTTTCATGAGAATTAAAATACACGGTCCATATCCTGTTGTGTGTTGTAAAAGTTAGGATTTACAGGGTTTAGAGAACTTCTGGGTTTTTTTAATGAGGAAAATAAATGGTAATACATTGCTTATCTTAAGGGAGGAAGGAGTCTATAAAATGGTTAAGAATTAGCAAGGTAAAAGAACTATATCAGGACTTAAAAATAGCAATAGTAATAAGGCAAATAATCTGTTCAGGAAATCATTCATACAAAATGTTTTAAGATTCTGTATTGATGCTGATGGTTACTCAGTGATTTACTGAAACACCTGGATAAATAGTGGAATGGTGATAATGCTAGATTTCCATGTTGTTCACATAAACTGGCACTACGAAACTCAAAGTAGAAAGTATGGCAGTAGGAACACAAAACTTAAGAGTTTATATAAGTATGGTGTGAGTTCAAATTTTAATCCATTTACTTCAGGCTGCAGAATTTCAGACTTCTTAAGTACAAGTTTATTTGATCAAAGAGTGAAAAACATTTGTTCTCTGCAGATACTAAAGTCAAGAAGGAAGGTGAAACTGTCTCATGCGGATGTAATGCAGAAAATTGGAGAACTCTTTGCGTTAAGGTAACTTTTATTTGTGCTACATTAAAGACATTGTATCGTTCGGCATTTCAGGTCAGGTTCTGCATGGTAAGACTGCAATCTTCCCGGCTCATCTAAACCAGCTGGCGGTGGGAGGGGGGCGGCCTCCCGTGCCAGCTGTGGGTCGGGCAGCTCCTCAGCCAGAGGGCTCGGCTGCTGCCGCTGCCCCTGCCACTCACGCTGCAGTGTCTGGGCTGCCAGCACGGGCACAGAACGAGAAGCTAGGAAACTCTTATCTCTGGCCTTGAGTTAACAACTTTTTTTAGTGCTTTGGCTACTCCTCAAACGTACATTCTTTCCCTAGACTCAGTCAGAAACTGCTGTTACATTGTAAGAATTTCATGGGGGTTTTTTCCCCCTCTCAAATGAAACGAGGAGCACACGACTTTACTTGTTCTCTTTCCACACAACTTTTAAAAATAATTGGAGAAATTAGTAAATGAAAAAAACAATTCCTCTCCTTAACAATAGATTTTATAGCCCTACTTGAAGGACCTGTCAGTAGTGTCAAAAGATTGTCTAAATGTCCACATTTATGAGAGCTGCACATTTAAGGTAGATTGTAGCTCTTAGCTTTTATATTGTTGAGAGAAAAGACTTAGTTTTAAGAGGTGCCTTGTGCCCATATCCCAGTATGCAGCATGTGCCGTGCTCAGCAGTCCTGAAAAAAATAACCACGTTGATTAACTGGAATTCACACACGTCGCAAGCTTTGGGAGCTGCTAGCATAGAGAAGGACTTCTCCGGAGAAACCCAAAGTTAGGAAGGAGGGGGACAAGAGGTAACAGAGCCACGTGGTAGAAGCAACTTCTGCAGGGGACTGTTGTATCTTTCAGTATTCTCAGAAAACTTTCAGCTGTGACCAATTGAAATACTTACTAAACCTGGATTCTCGTATTATGAAGGGAGAGATGCTTTCCATAATTTTCTTGAAATAGCAGAAAACTTTCCTTAATTGCCGTGTAAATATTTGCTTCTGTAAACACCCAGAGGAACTTTGTACTACTGTAACCATTCTTTTTAGACACCGTATAAATCTGAGCTCAGATCTGCTTATAACACCTGACTTTTACTGGGATAGAGAGAAACTGGAAGAGCTTTATGACAAGACCTGCCAGTTTCTCAACATTAATCGCAGAGTTAAGGTAGGTATTTTAATGTTAAGAGAATTTTCCACAAACAAATCAACTGTCTATGGTTCAGCTTGGTTACAGATTGCTCCAGGAATGTTTTATTGCAGAACTCAATAAACAATGATAGAATCCTATAAATTATATCCTTTTCAATGAGTCTGTAACTCACATCCTTTACCTAACTTAGGTTAATACCCTACCTCAACCATCTGGAGTTACATGAAGGGATTGTGTACTTCCCAAGCCATTACATCAGGCTTTATATAGTTGTAAGAGGAGTTTTAGGTCTTGTTTTGGAATGTGTGCAAGAAAACAATTTGGAAAAAAAGTAGCCTTTTTTAGTCTTTTATTGATATGATCACCCAGGTCAGTTCATTGCAAGGTAACATAAATACTACTAGACCAGAAGAAGAAGCATGAAAACGACCTTTTCTGGTGCTAGGGCAACCTTAAATACCCGTTTACTGTCCTAGGCATTCCCAGAACGTGCGTTACCTTGGCTTGTGCCGGTTATTCACCATTAGATATAATATTAAATATGAAGTTGTAGTTGTATAGTGTCTGCAGATAAACCTGGAGTATCTCAACCTGATCTAATGCTTTTCATGAATGCATTGGAGTAACTGACTAGTTTGTGTTAAAGCTTTTGCTGCTTGTACACATTGCCCTCCAGGACATTGTTCTGCTGCCTTGTAGAGGAAACACAATCACTCAGGAGTTACATTAAGTGAACCCTTTAGTGGGTTGGGTTCCTTTCTTTAGCCCTCTCATGCAGTTTAAGGAATACAGCTGGGCTAAAGTATTTGGCATTTTTCACAGGTAATGAATGAAAAGCTTCAGCACTGCATGGAGCTCACCGACCTAATGCGGAATCACTTGAATGAGAAGCACACCCTGCGCCTCGAGTGGATGATAGTGATCCTCATCACCATAGAGGTACCGCTGCCTTCAGCACCACGCTGAAAAATGTTGGGATACAAGGGCAACTCTCATGCTTCATAATTTGAAAACCACGAGTAACTTATTCATGGAGTATATTATACAAAAGGTTAGGGTTCAGTTTATTGCAAGTAAGTTTGGACTTGCAGCAGAAGTTTCCTAGCTTACACTATAAGCTGTTTTAAGGATTATTAAAGCAAATAAAAATTCATATTGAGTATTTGTTATTCCACAGGTCATGTTTGAGCTGGCCAGAGTCATTTTCTGAACAAAGAAGAGGCTAAGGAAGAAGAAAACTTGCAGAATTCTTATGACAATATTCCTAAATTCCTGTCTACTGTGATTGTCCTGTGCTAAAACTCCTGTCTATTGTAAATTGCTGTAAAAAATACTGCAGTTGTGCTTTGTGGTAAGCATACATCTCCTACTCAAATAAAAAAATGAATCTATGGACTTTATTCCCAACTGCTGTAACAGTGATGTTAGATAAGTCTTAATCTGTAGCTGTGTTAAAGTGAAGCCAAGATGCAAACTATGCGTTTTTAGGGAGTTTTATAGTGATTGCCCTAGATGCATCCAGGTAAATATCTAGATTTCTCCCCTTAATAAACAAGGACAGAGGGATAGGCCCTCTGCGATGACCATAGTAATTCACTGATGGAGTCTAACACTAAGGATTTTTTTTCTTAATGAAGTTCTACTCATATCAGAAAAAAAAATCTATATAGGCATACAGGTGTTTATATAATAAACGTTTATATTCTGCTGGTGAAATAACCAGCAGAACTTAGATATGGTCACTAAGGAAGCTGTAGCAGAACAAGACCCTGAAGAGAGGCTCACAAAGCTTCACCCGCCTAGCTTGCCTGCCTTATCATATTGCATGATTCTTATCAGTATAGGTTGCAAGGAGGGAATTACTACAGGTGACAGTACCCTAACTAACCTCTATGGCGAGTATTCCCTCCCGTCACTAGGCTGCTCTCTCCAGAATGTTGCCCTCTCATAAGGGGAGTTCTTAGGAGCTTTCCCAGCACTCAACTGCTCTTTCTAAAGGTGTTTTCAAAGTGTTAGAAACTCTTTGTTTCTAGGCTACAGTAATAGCAGCAACAACTGCTGTTTCTTTTTTTTTTTTCAGAATCTTGAGTTAGCCGGTTAAATCCCCTCTACCCACTTCGGTGTGAGATTTTTAATAATAATAATACTAAAATATCTCAATAACATAGCATAGGAGTTCTGTTAAAAGCTACTGAAGCATTGTCAAGTTGCCCTGATGACTACGTTTAGGCTAGATCTGGGATTACCTTTACAGCAGCTTTCAGGCAAGTTCTCTGCTCTAGCAGAGAAGCCCTAGTTCAGAATGTGACGTGAAGACTCCCATTGAATACGTCACACATGTAATGGGGAAAGAAAGAAACAAAGCTTGGAAAAATAAAACAGAAAAAAAAAAGGGGGCTGTAATTATAGATCTATCCTTTAGCTGCAGCAGCTTCTCTTAAGAGGAGGCTGCCTACTCACAAATACAGCGGCTTAGAGGGATAGATCTTGGTTCTGGGACATATCCTGCTAGTTCTGTGCACTGCTGAGGTGGTCTGAAGCATCTGCAACATCCCCGGAGGTGGGCTGGGTAGCAGGACAGCTTCAGGATGGGCTGTACAATACAGTGCGGGACAGCTCTTCAGAGCTGGTCTCCTGACTGCTATAGGTTTAATACAAAAATAGTTTATTAGATCCTTTACAGAGTAGAAAAGCTTACTAAGCGTAATTACAGTTCTAAAAATAGAGAAGTAGGTTAGATCTTAATTGTAATTTTTCCAACAAACATTTGTTTCATCCTTTGAAATAAACAGGCTCCTCCTGCCCCCCCCCCCACTTGAGTATAATACTTGACGTACGTTCCCATTCATCTCACACCTTTAGAATGTAAATTTACAGGCCAAACATATCTATCAGGTCACCTGGTTTTAATAGTCATTTCAGGACTCCTCACTGCTCTTTAAATCCATAAAGTGATTAGAGTATCTCAGTGCTAAGACTGTGCACAAAAGCTACCCCATGCAACATTTCAAAACAACAGAAGCACGGTCACCTCTGCAACTTCAAACCAGTGCCTGTCCGCATCACACCCCCACCCTTTCACAAAGGCCCGGTCACATTTGGTGGCTACTGAGGGGTTTGTCTCACCAGAAGCGCGTAACTTCAAGTATTAAAACAAGGATATACACAAATCTCTTCTGAGGAGAGAATATTCTCACCGTACTTATGCACAGAGAGCCAAGACCCAGCTGCAGCGCTGAGCACAGCAGGAGCCTTGAGTTTTCAAGGCGCAAGACGCGCGCAAGGCCGAGCTCGCACGCAGCGCTCGGGGATGCCCTCCTTGCCCGTGGGCCTGGGCTGCTTCACGCCAGACAGCGCGCGGGCCGCCAAGTCTGCTGCCCCGCCTGACCTGCAGGAAGCTTTATGGCAGAAACGGCGTTGGATTCCCGTGCTAACTGCTACACCACACGGCCCCAGCTGCACGAATGAGCCCTCCTTAGGTTGGCCTCTCCAGCCCACTCCTCCACGGTCTAACCACAGAGGCCTCCGTGCTCACTCCAGTGTTTGTTGGTGCGTGGCGAACTGCAGTTTGACCCATCACTAAAATAGGTCTACACTGTCCGGTAAGGGTCACCTAAGGAAAAACAAAAAAGACTGGAACTGTAATAAGTACAGAATACACAAGAAAAAGAGGAATCCTGACACATCCAGGACTCTACAATTTTAGCCTTTTGAATATAGTAGTTCTCTATTAAAACAAGAGTGAATGGCAAAATTCTGTTCACGTGGAACCTTCTTAGGCCGTACGTTATGTTTGCAGCTATGAGACAGCTTCTATCTGCGCTCTTCCCATCGAATGAGGGAAAGGGCAACTTGTAGGGGACTGAATTTCTTTCCTAGATCTGCTGCTAGGAAGAGTCTTCTTGAAACCAGCTATTTGTAAAAAATGCTGAGAGTCGGGATTGCTGATTTCCACTCCAGTTTGTACAGGGACTGTTGCTACTGGCTGCAGCATCTTGGTCCGTTCTGCCCAGCCTGTCCTCTCTTCTGTTCCGGCCCACCCAGTTGCATTCCACACTTTTTTTTAATCCTTAACATCAGCCTGTATTTTTTTCCAGCTGCCTCTCCTGTTCTTTACAGATGATGCTGTTCCCCCAACCCTTCCCACCTACACAGATGCCAACAGGAACTGAGATCAAAGGAAGGACGCTCCTTGTCCCCAGTTTTGCACAGCACATCAGCTCTGCTGGTTGGACAAGCAACTGCATCGAAATTGCACCTCTCTAGCTCTCCGTGCTGTGACAATTTACATTCAGTCCAGCCAGCAGGGAAGAGCTGCTATCAGAAGGGTGATATTCTTGCTAACTCTAAGCATCCCCTTCAAACAAAAATACTAGAATGCTAAAATCAGTATTATTTTCTCATTATCCATCTTATTCTGTTCCTAGGATCTGAACCTCAAAGGTGATGATTTTTCAGAAGAAAGCCCAATACTCCAAATCGACTGCTCAAAATCAATCCATCTTTATTCACTGCAGTTAACATAGTTACTTTGTAAAAAGCAGCAGACATTAGGAGAGGACAGAGAGAGAGAAGGCCTTGACAGCAACAACAGTTGTGGGGAACCTTTTCCAATTTGCACCCTGCAAGTTCTCAAGTGGTAGTACAAGCAAATTCAGAAACCGCAACAGCCAATTTGTCAGCTTGCTTTTCCCGGTCACTTTTCCTAGACCCAAGGAATGTTCGAGGAAAATCTGCAGTTGGAAACTACTACTGTGTGATGCGCTACCTTCCCTGGGTGCCCAACACTGAGCACCTGCCAAAACTCTCATTATCTGCTCTGCGATAGTGGCCGGGCAACAATCAGAAGGAAACAGAATTTGATGTACTCATGTACAATAATGATATGCCCAAAATCTAAGAAAACAAAACAAAACCATGCCCCTAACTGGGAAAGCTTGGATGGACTTGAAAAAACCTTTTTTTCCCCCTTTTTTAAGTATAAAGAGAGTTTCTTATTATTTCTATTATAAACAGATAAATGGCTGAGCAGTATGTCAGTCTTTCAGCTACAGCCATTTAAGAAATTCATCCTCAAAACTGGCAATATCCGATTACCACACTACAATAACTGCCAAATATTGGACCCCCAAATATTTAACTCTCTCCTAACTAAGCTTGAGCCACTGCTGACCATTTAATAAAACCGTTGAGTATTAAGTATCCCGTGAACTTCACATGACTGTTTGAAGGATATTATATAGTAATGTAGACAGTATCAGTGCTACCCACTTAGAGGTGCATCTCTCTGTACAGAACCTCGGCTGCACATACTGGGAAAACACACACAGTAAAGTGGCAGTTTAATCTGGTTTTTCTTCCCCTAAGGAAAACAAAACACGCAAATACTTGCACTGCTCTAACTTTATAGCCATGCTACACCAAAAACGGCACCCTAGCCAGAAATGCACAGTCGCATTTGAGCTTGCCCAGTAAAAGGGTAGGCAGGGCCCAAGCACTAGTGTGGAAGAAGGCAACGTGCAGGGCCAGGCCCTGCAGAAACTTCAATTACTCCAACAGGGCCCTCTCCCCTCGTGGAGATCAGGCTGCTAGCGGGAGTTTCCTACGAGTAATTGAGCCCTTGCCACAAAAACGGGAATGCTCAGACAGACCTGGGGGCTGAGCGCTCGCCTGTTGCCAGTGTACCCAGCAACTGCCCTGCGACTCTGCTCTTATTTCCAAAATTACTGAGAAATGTGAAGACTCGCTCAAAATCTTAAATGATCTAAACCTGATTAACACCAATAGGGCCACTGCAGTTTAGATTACAATGAGAAAAGGCAAAAAAATATGGTATTTCATTCCAGATTTTAAATGAATTCCACCAAAAGGACACTCGGAGACCTTGCGTCTGCCTAGTTCCTCCCCTTGCTCTACTGAGTTTTACTCAGATTAGCAAACACCTTCATCATCCCGCTAATATTTAGATCATCAGGGATAGACTCATTTTCAATGCACAATACCATCTTAACAGACAAAATTCTTTTAATCTGAATACAGGCAGGCCAAAGGAAAAAATGAAAGATAGGGACTGATGCTATCGTCAATGGCAACACGCCTCAAGAATGCCCTCAGGAACGCAGCAACATCTGAATTGCCTTTAAAAAGTCATCAAATTAGGAACATACACACACATGTACCTCCAAAACCTGGTGAGAAAAACTAAACGCACAAAAAGCACAACGGCACCACTGAGATGAAGACAAATTTCAATTTCAACTGCCCTGATTGTACTCAGTTAAAAAAAAAAAAAAAAAAAAAAAAAGCTTAAAGTCACATCAGACAGGAATAAAATTTTAGATTCAGACAAAGTCAGACTAATTCAGATGCCAGAGACACAAAAAGACGAGCGAGCT